GCTTTCCATATTAAAAAAAAATGTGAAAGAAAACTTCCAACAGCTTTAATTTTAATTTTATACAGGTTTGTACAGCATAAGAACTGAAAGACTTAGGGACAAAAACCTAACATTACTTCTTTTGGCATGGGAATTATAAAGGAGTCTAAGGGTGATATTTTTCATTATTTGTATTACCAAAGGGCCTAGAAAGCCTACTCAGGGACAAGGTTCCCTTTGTACTAAACAGTACAAGAGTGGAACAGAAAAGACAGCCTTAGACCATACCTCTGCAATCCAGTCATGCCCGTCGCAGACAGCCATGAAGTAGCACTGACCCAGACTTGTACATCTATAAAAGGCAGTGGAGGTTTGTCTAGAAATACTCACCAAAGTCCTGGAAGCATTAAATATTTCATTAGCGTAGTCTTGTGCTTGAGCTAATAAATCCTGCCTCTCAGTGTTTAGGAACCCAATATTACCTTTACATTAATTCTAATTCTTACATGTAATTTAAAGTATGTCTGTATTAGAAGGCTCTACTTAAACCAAAAGTAGTTTATTTCCAAATTTCACCTCTATCCAGTTGGCATTTCTGCCAGTGAAAAAACTGCTCTTGCTGCCACCTTCAGATGAGCCTCCTGCTACTGCAGTTTATCCGTGACCAAATGATCTATATGGGCCTGATGAGATAATGGTGAGATCAGCCACAGATCAGAACCAGGGAGTATTGGAGCAAAATATGTAAAGCAAAAAATATATAGCAAAACATTTAATCTCGCTCTTGTGGAAGCTTTTTAGCATGTGATCTGAGTGATGCAGACCGTGCATGCAGACTAGTCTGGGGCAGATAAAATATCTCCTCTCAGAGTATGTAGGAAGTTCATACCCACAGGAAGTCAGAAAATGAAATACTTGTGGACAGATTTTAAAGGATCATAAAGTTTTATGAGTTATAAAAGCTAGAGCTAGGCCTGAGCTATTGAGTTCAGCTCAAAACTGAAATCAAAATAGGAATTTGTCTTGGATTATATTAGAAATTAGAATTGATGGTAGAGTTATGTTTTGGATTAGGTACTCAGAGTTCAATGAACACACTTGCATTAAACAATATGTTTGATAAAAATTTAATCTATATGTATCAAGAAATGAGTAAGTAAATAGTCATTCCCCAAAGCCAGAAGTATCCACACCACATAAAAAAATATTCTTACCTTCTAACAACGTCTATAAAGAATTACTAAGGTAGCAGAGAGTGATACATGTCACACTGAATTCAGGGCAAGAGAAATAGGTCACTGAACAGATCCAGTGTGGAAAAATACTTTTTTCCACTGTCCTAGCTTTTTAAGTCATGCATGTTGGGAAAAGCATTTATTTTACATTTACATTATGAGGCTAGTTTTGTTTCTGTGTGCTAGTGATAAAGTGCATGAGGAAGAACATGCATCTGAACTTGAGGAATAAATTTAGCTATGGAGTGTTGCCATATCTTTTTTTTTTACTGGGTAAAACTAATCACAATCCTGTATATATTTCTCAAAACCCTAGCTTCATAAAAACCTCAGCTACAGTTTCCAGCCCTTCTGATATGAAAATCCCTAGAACATGGTATAACGCACAATAAATATTAGAAAAACACAGAAAAATTATTTTTTTAATCTTATGATTTTACAACAATCACAGGCAGGAAAGGGCTATTTCATGATTTTTAACCTCCAGATAAGGAGAGGTTCCTCCTCTCACTGGAGAAGAGTATTGTGAATCTGTGGAAATGCTTCGTTAAATGCTAGGGAAAAAAAAATTATCGTATAATGAGTTGAGCGGTGGATATATAGAACTCATTTAAATATGGAAGGTAATTATCTGACACATATCCTGATTAAAAATGCTCAGTTACTGTCTGTTACTGTCTCCTGTCTGAGTATGATCTTCATGGCAATTCATCTATGTCTCTTACATTCAGAGTAAGATGAGGTGACTGTTAACACCTCGTATATAACATCTGTAACACCTTATAACACCCTTTGCACAGCAAGTTGAAACTGAAGGAATTTGAGTAATGCTTTGTCATTTCAAGTTATATTAATTTTTATTCTAAAAGCAGAAAGTGGCAGAGAAGAATACAGTGGAAAAAAAGGCCCTTCTAAAAAAATAAGGTTTCTTTTAAGATTTGCTGTGATTTAAATGAAACTACTTTCAAGAAATCCAGAAAATATGAATTTCTCTAATTTTTATGATAAATAATTCAACCTTATTTCCATCATTATCCCATACTTGTTAAAAAGTTTGATATAAATATAAATGTCCATTATGTACTACGTACCGAAGGATTAAAAAAGGAAGTCCTACGTATACTCCATATACTCCATAAACATGCAGTCTCATTCTTTTTTCTGAGATAGAAAGCTGCACACTTAAAGCTGCTGTACAGACAGACAGAAATAGAGATCCATCCTGACATATTCTTAGGGACATGGATTATTGTACTTTTTTTCCCAATTCCTGTCACAATGGATCCATTTTGTAAGCCTGCTCCTTGACTCCTGGGCATGCCCTCTTCCAGCACCCAGCAGGAGTAAAAGGAAGAAAGAAATAAGAATCGAAAAAGGAGTTCCACAGAACAACCCAACCCCCTAGCCCAGCAGGCGAAATATCTAACCCTTCCATGTTTACACATTTTTACTTCATTGTTTTAGATCATACATATGTCTTCTTTATCGATATGCTTTGTTTCCATCATAACAAAATTAGTCTATATCTTCCCTTTCAAGTTAATTGAAAGATGCTGGAACACACAAAAATTGCTAGTAGTAAAGTAACATTAAAATGTCAAGCTCTCCAGAGTAGGAAATGTCAGAATTAAGATTATCTGTGCATCATCCCCTTCTTGGTTGTATGCGTTAATTACACAATCACAGTTCATAATGTTTTTATTTCAGATGTTCCCTGCCTTAGTCAGTGCACAGAGCATGTGGTGCTTAAGAATTAAGTTGGGGATTTATGAAGTACAATAACTTGTCTATTGAATTGATTGTCTTAAGGCACTGTAGTGTGTGCATTATTCCTGTGGTAACGGCATTTAGAGACACTATCAGAGGTTGGAAGTAAAGGTAGGGTATCTGGTAGACATTAATGTAGAAAAAGAGATCCTTTGCCCCCAAAAATTTCCAAGCTAGACAGACAGAAGAGCTGTGGGTTAGAAAAGTAACAGAAATCAATTTGCCCAAGGTCCTGTCTACTGTATTGGCCACATGAGGAATTAATGAAGCTCTGGCAATAAATCCTGTAGCTCAAAAGTCAATTTCTGGACAAAGTGTGGTTATCCTGGAGAGTTTTTGGTCCAGCTGCCTTTGCCCTAGACTGCTGGATTATTTGCAGGAAGAAAGCAAGAACAGCAATTCAAACTGGTGATAATGCCCTGGAGTTAGGTCTGTGATGGATGTCACACACTGCCACAATATAGAACAGCCCCCCGAAATTAAGAAGATACAACAGATCTGAATCTCACTGCTTCTCTACCAATGAGGCACACAACGTTGCTGTGGCACACTTGAAGCTTAATTACTTATTTATACATCATCAACAACAATTTTGACTATATCCTAGGCCACTCCTTTGACAAGAGAAGTGGTGACATTTTTTAAACTCGAGTTTAATTTTTACGGATGATAGCACAGCCTGTTTGCCAGAGATACCTGTGATTATAACATCAAGTTTTACAGCTTTTGCCATAGAGCAGTCCTTTCTCTAATGGACTCTTAGAACAATTTAATTGTTCCCTGTGATGGATTTACATTTGTACATTTACATACACACAAATACAAATCAACCATGGGATGAAATAGTACCTGCATATATAGAGAAGGCTATTGCTATATGGACATGTTAAAGGAAGGAACTTCACAAAACTTCACAAAACTTCACAAAAGCAAGCAGAATGGCTGGGGTAGCAACTTATTTCAGACTTAAAGCCAAGAATCTGTTCTTGTGGGTCTTTGGCATGCCATACTGGAGCTCTGAATGTTGACAACTCATATGGGTACAGCCTGCAGCTGCATCCCGCATATTCTGATCCTCTTTCAAACTCTTAATACAATAGGGTCTCGAATACATTGTGAGCAGAAGAAAACAACCCCCCACATTCTATTTTAGTATGTTGAGCCTAAAGTCTATTGGCTGGGAGCTGTCATCAGACATGACCATATGTTACTCAATGGTATTACAAGTAAATCCTAATTGAGTGCAAATTATGAAGATTAAAGTCACCTCAGATTTAGCTATATTATGTTGAGGCAAATGTATTTCAAAGTCCTGTTTAAAATGTTGGAAATTCTCAGCACAGAAATTAACAGGCTGTCATTACCTTGGATTTTATGAGCTGTTCTAAATGTCTGGATTTCCTTGTTTGGAGCCCTTAGTCATAGAATGTAAAAACAGTCCTTTGCAGCTCAGACTGAAAAACACCAAAGACAATGTATTGTCAACAACTTTTGAAAAAATATTAAATATTGGTACAACTAAGTCACTGAAGAACCTCCTGGTATAAGCTTTTCATAAATAATGGTAAAAGACTGGATGACTGCTGTTCTAATTCTGGTTAAAATCAAAGTTTTGCATTTATGCAATCTACTGTCAGGATAAGCCAGGACCAGCTTATAACAGGCGATGCATTACCTTTTGAAAACAATTAACTGCCAGAAAGATCTTCCTTGATGACTGAAGTTTATTACTGTTTCATAAGAGGGCTGTGAAGTAGTAAGGAACTGAACTTCATCTATTGGTGCACTTCAGATGATGCACTCCATTTTAATGAGATTAAAGGTTTAATGCAGATAAAAGATTTTTATCTGTTCAGTGCACCTGGATTCAACACAGGGATTTCAGTGTGATTCACAGAGAGTCATCGGAGAGCTACATTCATCTTGATCAACAAGAGCGTCTGACTTCTTTCCTTCTTTTCTGTTCTGTACAAAGACAAAATGATCAGGACACATTTCTTCCTATTTTCAGCACTGATCATGTGCAGCATACCTGCTGAGGAAATCTTTCAGCCAACTCTAGTGCTGGACATGGCTAAAGTCCTTCTGAATAACTACTGCTATCCTGAAAACCTAGTAGGAATGCAAGAAGCCATTGAACAAGCAATCAAGAGCGGGGAGATCCTGGACATCTCAGATCCAAAAATGCTGGCCAGTGTATTAACAGCTGGAGTGCAGGGTGCTCTGAATGATCCCAGACTGGTGATTTCCTATGAGCCATCACTGCATGCAACTCCCAAACAAGAAGCTGAGGCTTTCCCCACTCGTGAACAACTCCTGAGTCTTATTGAGCATGTGGTCATGTATGACAAGCTGGAGGGCAATGTTGGCTACCTGAGGATTGATTATATCATAGGACAGGAAGTTGTGCAGAAAGTTGGAGCTTTTCTGGTGGACAAGGTGTGGAAGACACTGATAGAGACATCTGCTCTGGTGATCGATCTTCGTCACAGCACTGGGGGACAGATTTCTGGCCTCCCCTTCATCATCTCATACTTGCATGAAGCAGACAAGATGCTGCATGTCGAGACTGTATACAATCGGCCCTCCAACACCACCACAGAGATATGGACACTGCCAAAGGTGTTGGGAGAGAGGTACAGCAAAGACAAGGATGTCATTGTTTTGATCAGCCGCCACACCACAGGAGTGGCTGAAGATGTGGCTTACATTCTCAAGCACATGAACAGGGCTATCACTGTTGGCGAGAAGACAGCCGGGGGCTCACTGGACATCCAGAAGCTGCGTATTGGCCCCTCCAATTTCTATATGATGGTTCCGGTGTCACGATCTGTGAGCCCCTTGAGTGGGGGTGGACAGAGCTGGGAGGTGAGTGGGGTGATGCCATGTGTGGCTACTGAGGCAGAGCAAGCCTTGCAGAAATCCCTGGACATACTGGCAGTGCGCAGAGCAGTGCCTGGCACCCTAAGCCTCCTCACAAACATATTAAAGGACTATTACAGCTTAGTGGAGAGGGTGCCAGCACTGCTGGGGCACCTCATCACCTCTGACTTCTCTTCTGTGCAGTCAGCTGAGGACCTGGCCACTAAGCTCAACACTGAGATGCAGACCTTATCTGAAGACCCCCGCCTGTTGGTCCGAGTCATGATGCCAGGTGAAGCTGCTGCCCCCTCTGCTGAGAAGCCAATTGCAGTGGCAGCCAGCTTACCTGACAATGAGCAACTGCTGCATGCCTTGGTGGATACTGTCTTCAAGGTGTCAGTGTTGCCAGGCAATGTTGGCTACATGCGCTTTGATGAGTTTGCAGATGCCTCTGTGCTTGCTAAGCTGGGACCTTACATTGTCCAAAAAGTGTGGGAGCCCCTCCAAAATACAGAGAACTTGATCATGGACCTACGGTACAACCCTGGGGGCCCTTCCTCCTCTGCTGTGCCTGTGCTACTCTCCTATTTCCAAGATCCTGCTGCTGGCCCTGTCCATCTTTTCACAACCTATGACAGGCGCACCAACCACACACAGGAGCACAACAGCCAGGCAGAACTTCTGGGCCAGCCCTATGGGGCTCAGCGTGGCATCTACCTGCTCACCAGCCACCACACTGCTACAGCTGCTGAGGAGTTTGCTTACCTCATGCAGTCCCTGGGCCGTGCCACACTGATTGGTGAGATCACAGCAGGAAGCCTCTCACACACCCATACCTTCCCTCTGCTGCAGCCTGAGCAGGGAATAACCCGTGGCCTAACTATCACAGTTCCTGTTATCACCTTCATTGACAACCATGGGGAAAGCTGGATGGGCGGAGGAGTTGTGCCTGATGCCATAGTGTTGGCTGAGGATGCGCTGGAGAAGGCTGAAGAGGTGCTAGCTTTCCACAAGAACATGGGAGTACTTTTGGAGAGTACTGGGCAACTCCTAGAGGCTCACTATGCCATCCCAGAAGTGGCTGGTAAGGCCAGTGCTATGCTCAGCACCAAATGGGCCCAAGGAGGTTATCGATCAGCTGTAGACTTTGAGACTTTGGCTTCCCAGCTTACCAGTGACTTGCAGGAGGCCTCGGGGGACCATCGGCTTCATGTCTTCCACAGCCATGTGGAACCAATACCAGAAGAACAGCTTCCCAACATGATTCCCAGCCCTGAGGAGCTGAGTTACATTATTGAGGCACTCTTCAAAATTGAGGTATTGCCAGGCAACCTGGGCTACCTTCGCTTTGATATGATGGCTGAGGCAGAAACAGTGAAGGCCATTGGGCCCCAGCTGGTGCAGATGGTATGGAACAAGCTGGTGGACACAGATGCCATGATTATTGACATGAGGTACAACACAGGTGGCTACTCCACTGCTATCCCAATACTTTGTTCCTACTTCTTTGAACCTGAGCCTCGGCAACACCTCTACACTGTGTTCGATCGTAGTACCTCCCGCAGCACAGAGGTGTGGACTCTCCCTCAAGTCACCGGCAAGAGATATGGCTCCCTCAAGGACATCTACATCCTAACAAGCCATATGAGTGGCTCAGCAGCTGAAGCTTTCACTCGCTCTATGAAGGATCTACACCGGGCCACAGTTATTGGTGAGCCCACAGTAGGTGGTTCCCTCTCAGTGGGCATTTATCGTGTTGGTAACAGTTCCCTATATGCCTCCATCCCCAGCCAAGTGGTGCTCAGCCCAGTCACTGGCAAAGTATGGAGTGTGTCTGGTGTGGAGCCACACATCACCATCCAGGCCAGTGAAGCCATGGGTGTAGCTCAACACATTGCCAACCTGCGTGCCCATGTGCCACAGACACTGCAAACTGTAGGCAAGCTTGTGGCAGATAATTATGCCTTTGTGGACATTGGGACTGTTATAGCATCCAACCTCACCAAGAACATCGACAAAGACAGTTATAAAAAGATTAATACAGAAGAGGAGCTGGCCTGGAAGGTGACTGCCAACTTGCAAGCTCTTTCTGATGATGAGCACCTGAAATTACTCTACATCCCTGAACATGCCAAGGACAGCATCCCAGGGATCATGCCAAAACAGGTACGGTTCTCCTTGTACCCAGGTATACTGATGCCAGCTAGAATGGGAGCACTGAGTCAGATATCTTATCTTGTTTCTAGCCCATATCATAAACCCACCAGGATTTACCTGTACTCAGAATAGAAGCCAGTGCCTGAGTGGGTTTTGGAGGCTGAGCTCTCTCTGGCACTAAGGCAAGTCAGGGTAGTAGCTTGTGGTAGTAGATGGTAGTTCTGGATGCATGCATTTTGGGAACAACCTTCAGGCTGTGAATCTCTTTCAGCTGCCATCTGCCACAAGCAAATATGCAGGGCTTCACAGTCAGAGGGACAATATCTCATTGTCTCTGTGATCCCCTCTCTTTCAGTGATATGGCTTTTCAAGCTATAATAAATTAATGCAGAAACCCACTGCAGAAACTGAGTTTGTAATTTAAGAAAAATTTGGTTGGACCAGAGTAAATGCACACACCTACAAAACATGCTGCCACGTACACTTTAATGGATTTTTCTATATAAAATTGCTGTACCTGACTTCTATTACATCAGAATAACAAGCAGCTCCTTTGGTAGTGAAAATGGAAAGTTGTTCTGATTGTATCTCATGCTCAGCCTCAGACAGTTTCCCAGTGACTTAGAAATACTTTGGAAGAAGTATCTGGGTGGAAGTTAGGTGACCCCAGGGAGAAAATGATTTTTAATAATCTACTTTTGCCCGTGCTGTGTGGTTTGCATAACAGTCTGTGCTTTGTTCTGAGCCTGGGTATTTATACACTGGTCTGCCTTGGCAATCTTTCTTGTTCAATGTTGTGCTGGAGGGAGCTCCCAGGAGCACTTGTTAAAATTCCATCTTCTTATTAAAGGGAGGGTTAGGATAACCTGATTCCTTTCTTGGATGGAGTTAGCTCCTTTCTGGCTACTGCTCTAGCATGGCTATCAGAGACATCTTTTCTCCAGGGACTCATAAAATTACTTTTTGAAGAGAATGAATTTGCCTTTGCAATGAACCAGAGTATACCAAGTGTCAGGTAACGATTAAATGTTTCCTGGGGGAGGAAATCTGTGGGCTTCCACCCTCTGAAGTTTTTGGCATACATGATTTAAAGTGGGCATGACCTTTGTGGTATTATCTCCAACACTAAGGTCAAGGACAAAGTCTAAGCATTGCCAGGGGAGGGCATTTTTTTTCAAGTTTGTTAACCAAGAGGTGCTGGCCCCATTCTTGCCTCTAAGCTTAAATGGAAAATAATTAATTAAAGGATTTTTCTATTCCATCACTCTCTTACCCTCCTACATTTGTTGGGGGTAGAAAACTTCACTCTAAAGATGTTCTTGACAGAGCTCCCTGCTAAAGTATTAGCAACATATCAGTAACAATACATCATAATTTCTCCCCATTCTACAAAGTGGGCCCATCTTGCAAATTAGTCACTGTTTTCACTGAAGGCTGTTAATGGATATTGTTGGCTATTTTTACTTGTTCAAACCTTACTTACTTTATTCAGACCTTGAATGCTGAGAACAGGTTGTACAGACCAAATATCTCAGTTGTCGCATGACGTGAAATTCTGATCCTGACAGAGCTATTGAGGAAATGCCATTATACTAATTAATGCCTCTGTTTACCTCAGTTCTTTGTCAAGCAAAATGATTGGAAGGGGTCAGGGATACATCCATAAGAAGGAAATCATATCAATGTGTATGAAAATCAGGACAAATGTGAGATTTTTTTCAAGGGGAAATAATGTATAAATAGCAGAGGAGAAGCACGGGTTTCTTATGAGGCTAAAATAGTTTCCAAAGGTGCATGCGTTCCCTCATAGTGCTTGAGGAAACTGGGGGGCAGAGAGACAAGAGAGCGATGTTAAGACTTTT